CTTTACCAATTCTGACACCAACTGTCCCTCCCACAGCACTCTGCTTCTCTGCTGGTTCAGTAATTCATTGCAATGGCCACACAGAACTCACAGACCATACTCACAGTTACTGGGTTTATTAGGGAAGTAACCAGCTACAATTCAGGATCAGGAATGAGTCAAGATACAGTTCTTTGATCAGGACAGCTTCTTCTCAGGTCAGGCATGCCCGCAGGCAGGCCTCCTTTGGGCTCTTCGCCTCTCGGCCCCTCGGCCCCTCGGCCTGGCCTCTGCCCTGCTTGGGCAAGTGTTACAAAGCTCTTTAGCTTCACCAGTAAGTGGCCGGGGGCACCCCATTCCACTAGGAAGCCTCCCACTGTAACCACCTTACTCCGTGGGCTGGGTAGCTCACCATGCCATCTTGCTCTGGTCTGGTTCTGCTGCCACTGCTTCTCTTCTACTGCTTCTTGCCGTCTTGTGCCATCTTCGATGTTACAGCTCTCTCTCTGTCTCCTGGGTCTAGGGGCTTCTCAGCGCAGGAACCCCAGGTCCAAAAGATGTGCTCCACTTCCATTTCTTCTTCTTGGTGATAGTGAGGTCCCCCCTTTCTGCCTCTGGGATGGCTCATTTTAAGCCTAGTGGGGTGGTAAAACGGACCAATCCCTTCATGAGGGTTCCATGCACGTTATTTTCATGGTCCCACCCTTACAAAAGTGCCACACACCTTATTTGCATTGTTAGCAAGCTGTCCAGTCCCCTTAGTGAGCCACAAGCACCTTATTTGCATAGCCCCGCCCAATCATTTGGTAGGAGTTACAAGACCATGGTAAGCGAGGTCATATAAAAGCAACCCATCCCACCACAGCATGTATGGGTACGAGCATGTGCGTGCATGTATGTGTGTGTACAGGTGTGATTGTGTGTGCACACGTTTCTGTCCATGTTGTGAGACCACAGCATGCGCGTGTACACGCTAGACTGTTATTCAGCAAGTGCACACCAGCCAGCCAAACTTGTTCTGTTTGATTTGTGTCCTTGCCACACACATTTTAGTATTTTGAATACTGTATCATTCCCCCTTACTTGCATTTGGAGTCCCGGGTGGTGTAAACAGTTAACGTGCTCGGCCCTTAACAGAAAGATTGGAGGTTCGAGTCCACTCAGAGGCTCCTCAGAGGAAGGGTCTGGAGATCTGCGTCCAAAAATCAGTCACTGGAAGTCTTACTCTGGCACATGTGAAGTCACCATGAGTTGGAGTCAACTTGTCAGCAACTGATTTTGCTTTTTTTTTTTTACCTGCAATGTGAGTGAGTACACATACATGTGAGGACTTGAGGTGTGTGAGTTTGTGTGTGTGTGTCCCAGGCTGTGAGTGTCCATGTGTGTCTGTGCACATACGTGAGTGTGCACACACGTTGATGCTCACGTGCGTGCGCGTGAGGTCTTGAGTATGCGTGTGTCTGTGCATGGTTGTGTGGTTGTATGCATAGGTGAGTACGTGTGCGTGAATGAGTGTGAGTGTGTATGTGTGTGTGTGTAAGTGCACATTTCTCTGGCCAGGGATGTTCATTGTTGCTGCCCCAGCTCCAGGGAGAAATTCTCCTGTGTCTGAGATGGAGGAGGCCAGTGACTGGAGGCTCCACATTTCTCAGGCTCCAGGCAGCTTTCCCAGGCCCTATTACCCAGGAGGGACTAAGTCAGGGTGCAGGGGAGCATGGCCGGGCTCTGAGGAGACACGGGCAGAGTCAGATTTCGCTTTTGGAAGTCCCCTCAGGGGCTGGTGTGGGGAGGAATGGTGGAGCCTGGGAAACTGGCGAGGAGGGGAGAGAGGGTGAGGCCTAGGCCAGGCCAGCTGCAGTGGACAGCAGGAGGGGGCAGATCTGAGGGACATTAGGATGAAGAATGGACAGGAGTCAGTGATCTGAGGAGGAGTGAGGGTGAGCAAGGCATATAGGAGGACACTGGCTTCTGGCCAGGCTGAAGGCCACTTCCTAGCCCTGAGGTGGGAGCCAGAGGGGAAGCAGCTTCAGCAGCTTGCTGGCAGCCAGTCATGATTGGAGTCTTCGTCCTGGCTGGTTCAACCACACTGGGTGAGGAAATGATCCCTGAGGGGAGATTGTGGGGAGAGGACGAGTTTGGGCATCTGGTCAGTGTGAGGCTCCTGTGGCCACCCAGAAGGGCCTGGGACTGCAGGGCTGAGACTCCCACAAGCAAGTTAGCTTTGAACCAAAAAAAAACAGCTGCTGCCGAGTCGATTCTGACTCATGGTGACCCATGCGTGCAGAGTAGAACTGCTCCATAGGGTTTTCAGGGCTGTGACCTTCTGGAAGCAGATTGCCGGGCCTTTCTTCCAAGGAAGCTCTGGGTGAGTTCAAACCACCGAACCTTTGGTTAGTAGTCAAGGCTTAAGCACTTGCACCACCCAGGGACTCCTTAGCTTTCAGCAAGTCAGTTAAATTCTTCATGACGACCTTATTCCAAACCAGAGTCTTTTTGTTTGTTTGTGTTTTTTACCTGTGGAACCCATGTCTGAAATGGAAGCCACTGAAATCTAAGATCCAGTTTGTACCTGGCCTGTGAGATGGGGTCACCAGCTTTAGAAACATAGGCTATTGGCCGTGGAGGAGCCTGTCGGTGTACCCGGGCCGCCCCGCCATTGTACAATTGGGGAAACCAAGGCCCAGGCGGCAGTGACCTTCCCAGGGTTGCCCAGCAAGGCAGGGTGGGGCTGGGGCCCGTCCACCTGGGAGCCCTCTGCTGGAGAGCCCCTCCTTTTGCTGAGGAGACCCAGGCGGCTGCCTCAGGGGACTCCGTAATTATGGGATTAGGAGGCGGCCTCTCCCCAGCTTGGCCCTTTTTCCCCTCAAAGCCGCTGTGTGGAGACAGCAGTTGGCGGAGCAGAGCTGGTTTCCAGGTGTGTCTGAGGAAACCTGGCATCCGCGGGCGGCTCCTTCAGCCTGAAAGGCCCCATTGTGGCTGCCACCTCCCTCCATCGGCTCTATTTTGGGGTCTGGACCCACCCTGCTCCAGTTGGAGGAAGGAAAAGGTGTATTTTAGTATGTCCTGTGGGTGTGGGGGCAGGGGAGAGACAAAAGGGGAGGTCGCAGCAAAAGCAGTGTGTGAGTATCTCAGTGTGGCTGGGGCCTGGACTGTGTGGAGAAATGGGAATGGTGGCTGCAAGCTAGAGGTGTGAGGGGAGGGGCGGCCTGGAGTCCCAGGTGGAGCTGGCCCAGAAGTTGGAGGGGAGGGTGGTGTGAGCCGGGCCGGGCTTTCATGTGGCTCCAGGAGGCCTCTTGGCTGACCCTGCCACGCTGGAATGTGGGTCTGCGGCCTGCCTGGCGCCCTGCCTGAGACCTGCCTGCCAGGCTTCCCGATTCCCACCCTTGTGGGGGCCCAGCCCGGTGCCCCAGAGGGAGACCAGCCCTGTCCTCCAGGGCCCCCCAGTGCGGGTGCCAAGGGCTTGGGGCTGCAGCTGCAGGGAACACACGCAGCTCTTCTTCCTCCTGGGTCTGTTCTGCCTATGCTCCACCCCACTGGGCCATATTTGCCCGCTCACCCCCACCAGCATGGCAGGTGCATTCTAGCCTCCTGGCCTCTGCTCACCTGGTCCTCAGCCTGGCCTGGCCTTGCTGCTCCTCTTGGCCTGTCCTGATCCTTCCTACCCTTCGGGGCTCTGCTCACTGCCACTTCCACCTGCAAGCTCCATCGCCACCCCAGGCTTCCCTCTGATTTCCCTCATGCAGCCTTGCCAGGCACTGTGGTTGCCAAGGCCTCGCAGAGCTTCTCTCCCCTGCAGCCTCCTCACCTCTACCTTGAGCAGGGCCAGCCATAGGGGTGAGGGGCTCATCAGGAGGGAGGTGGCTTGATGTGTGCGCTTGGGCCTGAGCCTCCTTGCCTGTGGAATGGGATTGTGACATCTGTCTACCAGGTAGCTGCGAGGTTAGCTGGGGTAACGGGAGTGAACATGCCTAGCACGTAGTGGGGGTTCAGGCAGTGGTCCTTCAGCCCCTCTGCCCTGGGTGCTTGCAGGCCTCTGAACATCAGGCCCTGGGTGCAGGAGCCTGGGCTGCCCAGCCACTGCCCCGTGACTCCAAGAATGACTAATTCCACTCCAGCAATAAGCCCTTGGAAGCTCTGAGAAATGAGATTCCCGCCCCCCCTTCTTCTTATTGCCTCGTTAAACTCCTCTTGAGCGAAGGGAGTGAGGATTGTTCTAATCCCTTGGCGTGAGGTGGGGGGGGGTTCAGGGAGCTGGGTGAGATGGGTCTGCAGTGGCCTGCAGTCACCAGAGGACACTGGGAGTAGGCAGGGTGGGCACACGAAGCTGCACCAGCCCCACAGGTGCCCAGGGCAGGGGCTTGGTGCTGGCCGGGAGCTGAAGGCCTTGTGTTTCAGGCTAGTTTTGCCCTGGGCCAGCAGGTGACCTCAAGCAAGCCTTGGCCGAGGCTGGGGCTCAGTCTCACTGTCTGTGTGATGGGTGTTACAGGCCCTACTCACCTCCCCGTGCTGCTCTGGGAGGAAGACGGCCTGCAGGGCTGGGCCTGGGGAGGTGCTGTTGATGGGGTGCCTGGACACACAGTAGGCACCTTAACAGAGGCGGGGTGGGGCAGCTCTGAGCAGTCCCGTGGCCTTACTGCTTTCAGAGTCTGTTTCTCCATCTTTCACAGGGGCCTGGGGGCTCTGGCTCCCTCCTGCTGGAGCTTGGGTGACTCTGAGGGCTTGTGCAAGAGGGCTATTCATTAGGGAGAGTGCTGTTCCCAGTCCCGGGCCGGGCACTCTCCTCTGGGTCATGGAAGTGGCCTGGCCCCGATGGGAATGTCCACCTGCTCTCGAGGCTGCTAGAATTAGAAAAGCAGTCCCAGACCTCACCCACCCCAGTATGTCTTGATGGTGCCTTCCTCTGTGGAGCCCCAGTCTCCCATCTCCAGTGTGGGAGGAGACTCCAAGCAGCAGGCAGTGCTGCGGGGGGAGGTGGGTGACTGGAATCTGGGAGCCTCACCCGGCCCACCCTCTGTCCACAGGTCTTCCTGGCCCTTGGGGAGCTGCTGCTATCCTGCAACTGGGCAGTGGTTGCTGACATCTTGCTGGTAGGTGTGGGGGTCAGGGTGGGGGCTGGTCCTGGGGCCTCTTGAGCAGGGGGCTGGGGTCTGTCCAGCTCAGGGCTGGGTTTCTGCTGCTGAGCTGCCTGGGGGTGGCGAGGGGCTTCAGAGGCTGTAGGGTAGGGAGCCATGGTCACTGAGCAGTTAGTTACCTTGGACACTGACATTCCTCAAACAACATCTCCTCTGACCATCACCCCCATTTTGCAGATGAACAAATGGTGGCTCAGAGAGGGCATGTGCCTGGACCAAGGTCACACAGCATGCTAAGGCACTGAGGCAGGACTGGAGTTTAGGCTTTTTGACTCCAGGGCCCCTTCTCAGCAAGCTTCCACTCTGGGGTGTGTGGACAGGGGGATGTAGGACTTCAGGGCTGCAGCTGCTGAGCCCAGGTGGATCCAGGGTGCCCCAGGTCCCATGTCACGAGCTGCAGTGCAGGGGGGTCAGATCAGGCGAGAACAAGGCTTGACACTGTCCTGATTACATGACTGCTAAGTCCAGAGTCCAGCATGGCACCCCCCTGAGCCCTACTCTCCTCTCTGTCTCCTATGAGAAACACACAAGGAGCGACTGAACACCGTGAAGGGCTGTGCCCAGACCTAGGAGCACCCCGAGACCCCTCTTCCTGCTTCCCTGTGGAAGGTGCTGGCACAGCCCAGTGCTGGGCACATGGGAACCAAAACAGCCTGACAGTTGGTGGAAAGTTGTCCTGAAGGTGGTCCAGTGCGGGGGCACAAAGCTGGGCTCAGGAAACAGAGCTGGTTTCAGCTGCTCACTAGCTCTGTGACCTTAGGCTAGTCATTTTGTGTCTCTGAGCCCCAGTTTTCTAATGCGGAAAACGGGGATGATAATTGTACCTACCTCGTGGTTGTTGTTGTGAGGTTGAAATGAGATTATTGGTGTGAAGCTTTTGCCCAGTGCCTGGCACAGAGACTGTCCTCTGTGAATACTGGCTGGGATTCTGATAGTGACTCCATGTTCTCATCTTCTATCAGCCAAAGGGAATCCTTGAGTGGTGCAACTGAAAGGTTAGAGGTTCAAGTCCACCCAGAGGTGCTGCGGAAGAAAGGCCTGGCATCTACTTCCAAAAAAAAAAAATCAGCCATTGAAAACCGATTGTACTCTGACAAACACAAGGCTGCCATGAGTCGGAGTCGACTTGATGGCAACTGGATTTATCCCCCAAAGAAATCCTGGCGTCCTAGAATCTTTTTTTTCTTTTTTAATTGTTGTACTTTAAGTGAAAGTTTACAATTCAAGTTAGTCTCTCATACAAAAATTTATACGTACATTGTTATGTGACCCTAATTGCTCTCCCTGTACTGTGACAGCACACTCCTCTTTTCCACCCCGGATTTCCTGTATCCATTCAACCAGCTCCTAAACCTCTCTGTCTTCCCATCTCACCTCTGGACGGAAGCTGCCCATTTAGTCTCATGTATCTACTTGAGCTAAGAAGCACACTCTTCACGAGTATCATTTTATGTCCCACAGTCCAGTCCGGTCTTTGTCTGAAGAGTTGGCCTCGGGAATAGTTTTAGTTCTGGGTTGAAGAGAGTCTGGGGACCATGTTTCTGGGGATCCTCCAGTCTCAGTCAGACCATTAAGTCTGGTCTTCTTACTAGAATTTGAGTTCTGCACCCAACCTTTCTCCTGCTCCATCAGGGACTCTCTGTTGTGTTCCCTGTCAGGGCGCTCATTGGTGGTAGCCGGGCACCATCTAGTTCTTCTGGTCTCAGGCTGGATTCAGTCTCTGGTTTCTGTGGCCCTTTCTGGCTCTTGGGCTAATGCTTTCCTTGTGACTTTGGTGTTCTTCTTTCTCCCTTACTCCAGGTAAGTTGGGACCAATTGATGCATCTTAGATGGCTGCTCACTAGCTTTTAAGACCCCAGACGCCACTCACCAAAGTAGGGTGCAGAAGATTTTCTTAATAAGCTTTGTTATGCCAGTTGACCTAGATGTCCCCTGAAAGCATGGTCCCCAGGCCCCTGCCCCCTGCTGCTCTGTCCTTTGAAGTGTTTGGCTGTATTCAGGAAACTTCTTAGCTTTTGTTTAGTCCAGTTGTGCTGACTTTCCCTGTAGTATGTGCTGCCCTTCCCTTCACCTAAGATAATTCTTGTCTACTATCTAGTTAGTGAATAACCCTCTCCCTCCCTCCCCACCCCCCATAACCATCAAAGAATGTTTTCTTCTGTGTTTTAACCTTTTCTTGAGTTCTTATAATAGTGGTCTTATACAATATTTGTCCTTTTGTGACTGACGGAATTCACTCAGCATATTGCGTTCCAGATTCCTCCATGTTATGTTTCACAGATTCATCATTGTTCTTTATCGTTGCATAGTATTCCATTGTGTGGATATACCATAATTTGTTTATCCATTCGTCCATTGAACAACGAGGGTTGTTTCCATCTTTTTGCTACCGTGAACAGTGCTGCAATGAACATGGGTGTGCATATGTCTATTTGTGTGACAGATCTTATTTCTCTAGGATATATAGAATCTAAGTTCGAAAGGGCTTTGGGGATCGGTAGTCATTTAACTAGTCAGCAAGGCCTTCTTGAATACTGCTGTTGATGGGACGCTCACTCCTTGCCTAGGTGGTCTGCTCCCTCCCCAGGCAGCTCCCATGACCCCCTCCTGGTCATCCCAGATCACAAGCGTGTGGACAGCGCTGAGCTGCCTGTAGCTCCTGGGTGAGGCTATCTGCTGTAGGGCTGCCGGGTGTTCTCTGCCCCACCCTCCAGACAGGAGACTTGGGCTCCAGCCCAGACTCAGCCACAGACCTGCTGTGTGGCCTTGGGCCTCAGTTTCCTTGTCTATAGAAAGAATGATCAGAACCTGCCTGGCAGGGTGAACCAGCCTGCGTGCGGGGAAAGCCCTCAATCAATGGGAACTCAAGGCAAACTTTGTGTGGTTGTCCACTTTTAAACTCCCTCCTCCCCCCACCCTCTCCCTCCCCACGTAGCTCCTTCTATCTCAGGAAGTTCAGCTGGCCCTGAAACCTGCCCCCTGTAGGTTCCTCCCGGCCCCCCACTGAGCTGCTCCCTTTTCCACATGACAGCCCCACAGGTATGTGAAGACTCTGCTTGTGTTCCCACCCCCTCCCCCCATGTCTGTGTGTGCAAGAATGATTAACCTGGCAGAGCCATGAGGGGTGCCGGGGTGGGGGAGGGGCCGTGGGGCTGGCCAGCCATGTTTGACCCATCCAGCTCTGCTGGGGAGCTGGCTGGACATGATCTCGTTCACCCCAGTGCTCTCCATAGTCCCACCCTGCCTGGAGGCTTCCAGACCTCATGCTTAGCAAGGTTCATTGCCCTGGGAAGGCTTCTTGGCCACCCCTGTCTTCCCACCTTCCTGAAGCCCCTCTGTCCAGGATTGCCTTCCTGCCCTTTATGGGTCAGAGCTAGACTAACCCTTGCAGCTCATGAAGTTCAGCTCCCCCATATTGCCGGTTTCCTGGCAAACAATGGGGAAGAGTAAGGAAGGGCAGTTTGCTGGGGATCTGGTCTTTAGAGTGGAGGGGCAGACGCCACATTGAAGCAGGCTGAGGAGAGAGTGGGAGGTGAAGAAGGAGGATTGGAGGGTAGATGAGTCCCGCAAGAAGCTGCCTAGAGAGGACTGGGGAGAGAGGGTGGTTGCTGGAGGGGGCAGAGGATCAGGGGAGGCTGGCGATGGTTTTTAAGAGGTGAGGCAGCAGCAAGCCTCCAGGGGAGGGATGGAGTGGGCTGAGAGGGAGAGCTTGGAGATCCAGGCGGGAGAGTGGGTTGGGAGAGGGAGCCCCTGTGGGGAGGGTGAGCAGTGGCTGGGACCCAGGGCTGAGGGAGGAACTAGCCTCAGAGAGGAGGCCTGCAGTCCTTGCATAGAGGCAGCAGAGTAGGGACAGTTTGGGTGCAGGAAGTGTGTGGGAAACGGGGTGTATAACAGGAAGTGGAGAGAGGCCCCATTTGCTGGCCTGAACTTGAGGAGATGAGCTTCTCATGGGGCAGGGGCCTCATGAGAGCAAGGAGGCCCCAGACTGTGTGTCTGTGTGTCTGTGTGTGTATCCGCGTGTAGAGGGAGAGCAGAACAAGGAGAGCAGGTAGCTGAGGGGAGAGGGACATTCAGGTGAACAACCTGGGCTGCAAAGGAAGCCAAGGGTCTGACAAGAAAACAGGTGGAGAGACTATAGGTCTCTGGAAGGTCTGTAGGTGGGATCAGAGGGTGAGAGGGTAGCATAGCTCAGGAGCTAAGACTCTGGAGCTGACCACTTGTTCAATTCCCAGCCCTGTCACTCACTAGCTGCGTGACCCTGGCCAAGTGACTTAACCTCTCTGGGCCTCCCCACCCTCAGTTGTAAAATAGGTAGAATGTTTAAAAAAACAGTTGTCATTGAATCAACCCTGACTCATGGCGACTCCACGTGTCAGAGTAGAACTGTGCTCCATAGGGTTTTCAATGGCTGGTCTTTCGGAAGTAGATTGCCAGGCCTTTCTTCCGAAGTGCCTCTGGATGCGCTCAGAGGCGTGGCTCTTCTTGGTCTGCTTATCCACAAGGAGGAGAATCTAGATTCTGTCTGGGGAAGACACCTCAGGGGCTCGCTGTCCAGTGATGCTCAAACTTCTCTGTGCGTTAGAATCACCTGAGGTTGGGGTTTGTTGTTAAGTGTCGTTGAGTCCGTTCCAACTCATAGTGACCCTATGTACAACAGAACGAAATACTGCCTGGTCCTGCGCCATCCTCACTATCGTAGCTATGTTTGAGCGCACTGTTGCAGCCACTGTGTCAGTCTATCTCATTGAGGGTCTTCCTCTTTTTTGCTGACCCTCTACTTTACCAAGCATGATGTCCTTTTCCAGGGACTGGTCTCTCCTGATAACATGTCAAAAGTACGTGAGATGAACTCTTGCCATCCTTGCTTCTAAGGAGCATTCTGGCTGTACTTCTTCCAAGGCAGATTTGTTTGTTCTTCTGGCAGCCCATGGTATATTCAATATTCTTCACCAACACCACAATTCAAAGGCATCAGTTCTTCTTTGGTCTTCCTTATTCATTGTCCAGCTTTCGCATGCATACAAGGTGATTGAAAAATACCATGGCTTGGGTCAGGCACACCTTAGTCCTCAAAGTGACATCTTTGTTTTTTAACACTTGAAAGAGGTCTTTTGCAGAAGATTGTCCCAATGCAATATGTCATTTGATTTCTTGACTGCTGCTTCCACGAGTGTTGACTGTGGATGTAGTAAAATGAAATCCTTGACAACTTCAATCTTTTCTCCTTTTATCATGATGTTGCTTATTGGTCCAGTTGTAAGGATTTTTACTTTCTTTATGCAGAGGTGTAATCCATACTGAAGGCTGTAGTCTTTGATCTTCATCAGTAAGTGCTTCAAGTCCTCTTCACTTTCAGAAAGCAAGGTTGTGTCATCTGCATAATGCAGGTTGTTAATGAGTCTTCCTCCAATCTGGATGCTGCGTTCTTCTTGTTACAAATTCATATTCCAGGCCCTCTGTCCTCAGAGTCTGATTCAGTGGGTCTATGATGGGGTCCAGGGATCTGCATTTCAACTTTCCAAATGATTCTGATGTAGGTGTTCCTCGGAGCACACTTTGAGAAACACTGGTCTAGCCCAGCCAGCTCCCCAAGTCCAAAATTCTCAAAATCCCAACCAGTGAAGTCCTGCTCCTGTTCACGTACTCCTCTGACAGGGAGCTCACTCCCTGCACCCCTGGCAGCCCCTGCCTCCTGGCAGCTCTGTTGATGAAAATGATCAGGCTCCGTTACAGCTAAGAAAACCTCCCCTGGCCCAGCTTGGCCCTTGGCCTCAGAGGGACCTGCTCCCTAGAACACTGAGATTGTCTCCCACACCTGCTTCTCCCGAGGCAGAGCACCCGGCCTCCCCAAACCAACTGATGGGTCTCCATTTCCCTCTCAACCCACCTGTCTGTCTAAACCCTGAACCCCCTGGGATGGCCCAGAGCCAGCTCGGTCCACCCCCATCCCCAGCAGTGTGGAGTAGAGCGGAAGGGGAGAGCTTGCCCCCTTTTTCCCAGGCCTGTCCTCTGGGGGTCTGGAATGCAGCCACTAGGCTTAGCTCCCACCTCCTCAGCAGATTTTCCTAAATCCCCTGGAGCGTTATCCCTCCCTTCCCCTATTCTCCCTCTGCTCCATGTCTCAATGCTTCCCTGCTCAGCCTCTGCCCCCCAGGGATCCGTCTGCTCATTCGTCTGTCTCACCTCCTAGGGGTGTATGGGTGTGAGGCAGAGTGGGGAGCAGGAGGCAGGCTGCCAGGTAGTCTGCACTTGGTGGTTGCCGCTATGACTTTCTGCAGGCCCGTGAGTGGTGCTGGTTTTGCCCCTGCATATAAAAGGAACAGCTGTTTTAAGAAGGGAGAGCCCAAAACAGAGGTGTGTTTGTCTCAGAATAGAGTGAGCCTGGAGTTTTGGGAAGCCAAAAGCCTCTCATTCCTAAAATTACTCCCTGGGTTGTCTAGCTCCTGGCGGGGCCCAGCCTTGGTCCCCTGGCTGTATGGAGACGATAGGACACAGAACAGGTTGCAAGGGACCTCCCTCTCCCACAACTGGCAGCAGCAGCCAGTCTGAGTCCAGCAGGTTGAGGTTCCTGGGAGGAGAGGAAGGGACCGAGGGTTGAGAAGCCTTGGTCCCCACCGTGGACTTTTTCCGGACATTCAGGGCCCACCCTCTGGGAGGCCCTGCCCTTCTCCCTGGAACCACCAGTGAGTAATCACATAATTATGGAGTGAGAAGGAGGCACTTGTGGAAGGTGCAAAGCTGTGCTCAGTTCCTTCTTAGCCTGTTGGCAGGTCCCGGTGATGGGCAGAGGGCCAACTTCCCTCGTGTCCTGGACAGAGCGGCTCAGGCCCAGCACCCACAGTGACTCCTGCCCCTCTGCCTGGCCCACCCCTCTCACCAGACCCCCTGCAGCGACTAGCTCCTGGGCTCCTGCCTCCACACCTTTGTCCTCACCTTGCCTGTGCCTGAAATGTCCTTCTCACCCCTCTGCCCGTTGCTGTCCTGTCCATCTGCCGGGCTAGGGATGAACTTGTCCACTTCTCTTTCTCTCCATTTTCCAAATGTTCTATGATAAACATGTAAACATCTCTGAAAAAGCCCTTCCTTTCCCGTGACACTACAGTGGTCAAAAGGCCAGGTCCTGGATCAATCTCAGCCCTGCTGTTTCCTGGCTGGGTGACCCTGGGCCCATTACTTAACCTCTCTGTGGCCTCGATTTCCTCATCTGTAAAATTGAGATAGTAATTACATCTCCTTTATGGGTTGTTTGAGTTGATATATAAAATGCATACAGGAACTACTCAATAAGTGTTAGCAATTATCCCTATTATGTTTGTTATTATTCTCTGATGGGTTCAGATTTAACGACATCTAGTCCTTGAGAAGGAGCCCTGGTGGCGCAGTCGGCTGCTAACCCAAAGGTCGGTGATTCAAACCTACCAGGCGCTCCACAGAGGAAAGATGTGGCAGTCTGCTCCTGTAAAGATTTACAGCTTTGGAAACCCTATGGGGCAGTTCTACTCTGTCCTGTAAGATCACTATGAATTGGAATCCACTTGACGGCAATGGGTTTGAGTTTTTTCTAGGCCTTGGGGATGGGGCTCTGGGGAGGACTGGGGCTCTGCGGCTGCCCTGTTGGGGACCGTGCATGTGGCATCTGCTCCAATGGAACCTCCCTCTCTCCTCTCCCCTCCGCCGCTACAGCCCTGGGTTCTGGTGGGGGTTTCTCCTGGGACCAGTCTCCAAGATTGTTCTACTTGGCTGCTTTGGTTGGCAGACTTTCAGCTAATCCTCTCTGTGCCTGGTACCTCACTGGACCCCGGGGACCCTGAGAGGAATTAGACAAGGGGTTTGAGATTGAGGACCTGACCAGAAAGTGTTGGAGGTAAGAGGAGGCAGACAAAGAAAGAAACCCTCCCAGCCCCAAGTGACGTGCGTACTTGGCTTGTGGGTGCTCAGGGCAGGCATTGGAACTCTGAGACGGTGTCACAGAGGAAGTGGCTCCAGAGCTAAGTCCTGAAGGACAAGAAGGGACGCTCAGCTGGACCAGAGAAGGGAAGGCATGTCGGGTAGAAGGCACCAAAACCAAAACCAAAACGAAGAAACAAATTAGCCAACCAAATCAGCTGCTGTTGAGTCGATTCCAACTCATGGCAACCCCATGTGTGTCAGACTAGCGCTGTCCTCCGTAGGGTTTTCAATAGCTGTAATCTTCCGGAAGTAGATCGCCAGGACTTTTTTTCTGAGGCACTCCTGGGTGGATTCAAACCTCCAACCTTTCGGTTAGTAGCTAAGCACTTAATCGTTTGAGCCACCCAGAAGGCACAGCGTGCTTAAATGCCTGAGAGCATTCTGCCTCCCAGAGTCACAGAGTGTTATTTCAGTTTGATGTTGATATGAAGCCTCCAGGTACCAGATTAATAATAATAACATAACCCTCAAGGTAGGTACTATTATTATTCTCATCTGGGGGGCGAGGAGACTGAGGCACAGAAAGGTGAAGCGACTTGCCCAAAGTTACACAGCTAGTGAGTGGGGGGTCTGGAATTGAAACTCAGACTGACTCCAGAATTCATATTCCTAACCGCTGCCTCCCAGGTAGCTGGGAGGGTATGAGTGGGTGGCAGTGCCCGCCTCACCCTCTTCCATGGAATCATCTGGACCTCTCCAGCCAGTTGTTTTTGGGTCTCTGCCCAGCTGGACTAGAACTCTCCGAGAGAAGGGCTGAGCTTTCTGCACCGTGCCTGCCCACTGCCCACGCATGCAGACACATGGCTGTGTATCCCGTCTCATCCCTCTGGTCTGCGTTACTGCCTCCTGGACCCCTGAGCTGGGCTGCCCCAGCCCCATCACCCCCGTCACAGCCATGCCTGGTCCCTGCCCAGGCTTTGTGTGTGTGTGTGTGTGTGATAAAATACATAGAACATAAAACTTTCCATTTTAACCGTTATTAAGTGTATAATTAGGTGGCATTAATTACATCCACAATGCTGTGCAATCATCACTGCTATTTATTTCCAAAACTTTTGCATCATCCCAAACAGAAACTGTTTCCATTATGCAATAACTCCCCCTCCCCCTCCCCATGGCAACCACTAGTCCACCCTCTGTCGCTATGCATTTACCCACTGTGGACATTTCATATAAGTGGGGTCATACGATATTTGTTCTTTTGCGTCTGATTTACTCCAGCATAATGTTTTCTAGGGTTAGCCACGTAGAAGCATGTATTGGAACTTCATTTCTCCTTACGGCTGAACAATACTCCACTGTGTGTATATGCCACCCTTTGTTTACCCGTTCATCAGTTGACGGACACTTGGTTCCTTCCCAGTTTGAGAGCAAAACTTAAGAGGGGGCCTTGGCACGCCCCTCCCGGGCACAGGACTGGTGTTCTAACGTGGCCACTCACTTGACCAACCTGTCACACGTCCAGGCCCTTGTCTTTGGCAGGTGGGAAACAGGAGGTGGGTGCGAGGGGTCTTCACTCTCTGCACTCGCTTGGGGAGCTCTCCTGGTGTCCTGTGTTTTTGTAGTCTGTGGTGGTGCCCAGGTGCCGGGGGACAGCAGAGGCGCTACAGATCACGGTGGGCCATGTCCTGGGAGATGCCAGCAGCCCCTACCTCACTGGACTTGTAAGGCCTGAGTGTGGGACCGGTGGGGGTGGGAAGGGTCTTGGGGAGGAACGGCATGTGGGAAGGCCTGGAGGGTGGCCTGTTGAGCCTGGCAGACCCAGCCTCTCTCCTCTGCAGCTCTCCAGCGCCCTGCGGGCTGGGCGCCCTGACTCCTACCTACAGCACTTCCTCAGCCTGCAACAGAGCTTCCTGTGCTGTGCCTTTGTCATCACCCTGGGCGGCGGCTGCTTCCTGCTGACTGCGCTGTACCTAGAGAGAGACCAGGCCCAGGCCGGGCAGCCTGGTACAGGTACCCCCAAGGCTCCCACCCACATCAGGCTCAGGGCTGAACTTCACAGGGGCAGGAAGGACCAGTTTGTTCATTCATTCATTCAAAACTATTTATTACACCCCTACTAAGTGCCAGGTAGAAGACACTGGGTGGTACAAATGGTTAACGCACTTGGCTGCTAACCAAACGGTTGGTGGTTCAAGTCCACCCAGAGGCACCTTGGAAGAAAGGCCTGGTAATCTACTTCCAAAAAATCAACCACTGAAAACCCTGTGGAGCACAGTTCTACTCTGATACACATGGGGTTGCCATGAGTCAGAATTGACTTGACGGCAACTGATTTAAGTACCAGGCAAGCTTGCAGCTGGGGAGTGAATGAATTAGGCCAAGTCCAAGTCCTCATGGAGCTGACCCTCTAGTGGGTTGGAGACAGAGGAGACACAAACAGAAAAAGCAAAAAATATAGTCTGTTTGAGGTAATAAGTGTTACGGAGAGACAAAGCAGGGAAGGGGGTGATGAGGGACAGGTGGGGGCAGGTTGGAATTTTTGATAGGGTAGTCAAGGAGGTCCTTACCACACAAGTGACACTGGAGCAAAGGCTTGGAGGAGTGAGGGAGTGAGCCGTGCAGACAGAACAGCCTGTGCAAAGGCCCTGAGGTGGGAGTGTGCCTGATGTGTGTGAGGACCGGCAAGGAGGCCAGTGTGGTTGGGGCAGGAGTGAGGAGGAGAGTAGTAGGGGCTGAGGGCAGCAGTAACAAGGCAGGAGGAGCCTGGTGGGCCCTTGTAAAGACTGTGGCCTTGACTCTGAGTGAGGCGGGAGCCTCTGTAGGGTGCCCCGGGGAGGAGAAGGAAGCAGCCAGCTTTATATTGTAAAAGTGTCTCTGGCTGCAGGGTTGAGAACAAACTGTGAGGGCTCAGAGTTGAGGCAGAGGGGCCCTAGGAAGCTCTGTGGTGTCCAAGGGCAGAGAAGATGGTGGTAAGACCATGGAGGTGGCAGAGAAGATGGTGAGAAGGGATGGGATTGGGAATTGATTTTGCAAATGGAATTTAGAAGATTCCCAGACAGATTGTGCCCAGGCCTGGTCCCAAAGCAGTGCCTGCCTCCTTTGGGGCTGGCTGAGCCTTTTTTCCTCCCACAGGGACCTCGGACAGCAAGGATGTGGAGAGCCAAGGCCTGCTTTCTGGTGCGGAGGGCCCTCTGGAGGGCCCCTGAGGCCCCTGCCCACATTGAGGAGGCCCTGCCCACCCTGCTCGCTCACCCAGCCCTCTGCTGGCCTCCACAGTAGCGGAGCCTCTGAGACCCTTGGCTGTGGCTCAGAGACCCCGGCTGAGCTGCACCTGTCACTTCCTTGATCCCTGCTCAAGAGCTGGCAGGCCCAGCGGCTGGGCTGGGAATTGAGCTGTCAGCACCCTCCGCAGGAGGCCTGGGCCTGTGCCTACATCCAGCACAGGGCCTGCCGACCTGAAGTCCTCAGCCTGGCTGCAGAGGGGCCTGGATTAAAGTGCGGCCAGCACAAAGCTCAGGCCTTTTGGACCACATGTTATTTCTAGCCTTGGGTGCCTCTGCTGGGAGCGTGATGGGGAGAGGTGGGCAACCCAGGCCAAGGATGCAAGGCTGCCCCCTGAAGTGGGGAAACTGGGGCGCTACTCAGCATGGGTCTCTCGGTGTCCGTACCCCTGGTCCTCCCAGCTCATGAGACCCACCCTGACCCAGTTTCCCCACTCTGCAGGGTCAGGAGGGCACGGGACACCCCTCTGGGTGGATTCACCCTTTGAACAAAAGGTAGGGCCCGAATGGTTGTCTGGGAGATAGACGGGTTTCCCCTAGCATGTGGGGTGGGGTGTGGCTCCAAGCTCCACGGACCCACACAGAGCAGCTCCCAGGCCTGCATCTTCACAGGCACAGCTGCCCACAGGATCACACCGACGTGCTCACCTGCGGCTCAGCCATACTCCTGGCTGTGCCCTTTTCTGCACCCCTTCCCCACCCACGCTCTGACCCTAGTACAGCCCGCGGGGAGGGTTGGCTCTGTGGGACCCACATTTGCTGCTGGGTTCAGAGCAGCTGGGCTCAGCGGGCCCTGCAGGAGATCAACAGCTTCCAGGCAGGCAGCGACGGGGAGGCATGTTCTTTCCGCCCACAAGCAGGAGCTGCTCTTCCCTCCCCTGGTGCCCGGCCAGGGGATGGCTTGTTCATTTGTTGATTGCCACCTTGGCTGTGCCAGGCTGTGCCTGACTCTGGACGGCTGTGGAGGAGCAGTGACCCACCCCATACATACCTCCCAACCTTTGCTTGCTCCAGCCCCACCTCTGGGGCGTCCTCCCTGACCCTGGTGGTTGGATGTGATAGGCTGTAGGGGCTGGGCTGTGCAGCAATTCCCGTACCTGCCCCCCAGGCTCAGCCCTCCCTGGGGAGCTGGCATCACAAGCTGTCTCGCCCGGTGACCCACAATTCAATGCTTGGAGCTCCTGAGCTGGACTGCCTCTGGAATAACAAGGAAAAGGGTCCATGAGGATATTTGGTTTCTCTCGAGAAGGAGGCAACCAGTATGGGCTGGAGCCAGGATGCCGTCAGCATTCACTGGCTGTGTGACCTTGGCCACTTGCTGACCCTCTCTGAGCTGCAGATGCCCCAGCTATACACAAGAAGTGTGTTGGACGTGGCTGTTCTGGCCCAGGCCTCCTCTGGTGCTCACAGAAGTCCAGCCCCAGGCTCTGAAACTTCCTCCCAGAAGTCCTAGGGGGAGAACCCCTGTGAGGCTTATTTCCCAGACGGTGTAGCCAAAATGGCCAAAGGCTTCTCAAGAATTAAACATCACCCCTCCCCAACCCGAGTCCAGTGGCTGGGGAGGAAAATCAAAAGGCTCCTTCGTGTCAGTTCTATAAACATGCGCTGGTATCACTGGGTGTCCATCTTGGCGTCAGCGGTGACTCAGACACCACCCCCGCCCTTGCACCTCACAGTGCAAGACCCTGGAGAGAAACACTCAGCTAAGCCAAGTGAAAGGTCCCTGGGAGATGCAAATGGTTTGTGCTCAACTGCTAACCTAAAGGTTGGTGGTTCGAACTCACCCAGCGGCACCTTGTAAGAAAGGCCTGGCAATCTGCTTCTGTTACGATTACAGCCAAGAAAACCTTATTACGGAGCAGTTCTACTCTGTAACACATGGGGTCACCGTGAGTCAGGATCAATGGCAATAACAACAACACGCCAAGTGAGTTTCTTGCTGAAGGAGGCACACCTGTGGACAGAGGGAAGGATTACATCCCAGCCTACCATTGCCATCCAGTCGATTCCGACTCATAGCAACCTAATAGGACAGAGTAGAACTGCCCATAGGGTTTTCAAGGAGCAGCTGGTGGATTTGAACTGCTGACCTTTTGGTTAGCAGCTGAGCTCTTAACCACTGCGCCACCAGGGCTCCACATCCCACCTAAGAGCTGGTAAATAGCAGGAGAAGCAGTCGGGAGAGGGAGTTTCAGGTGGAGGGAATAAGACAGGCAAAGGCAGGTGATGAATCATGAAGGGGTGTGGTGTGGCTAGAGAGGAGGGTGTGAGTGTTGCTGAGGGAGGGAGAGGAGGCAGGACAGACTGGCTGGGACCAGAGTGGCTTTTAGTGCTAGGCCCAGGAGCTGGGGCTTTAATCCCATAATCAGGGTTGTTTCTTCTGGCTCAAGCACATTCTGGTGGTTTGGGTTGCTGGGCAAGGTGGGGGTGATGTTTCTTGGGACTGAGCTGGACAAGATGCCCAGCGAGGAGTTGGCAAGATGTTATAAACCTGGGTGGTACAATTGGTTAAACACTTGACTACTAACCTAAAGGTTGGCAGTTCGAAATCACCCAGCAGTGCCACGAAAGAAAGGTCTGGCGATCTGTTTCCGTAAACATTATAGCCAAGAACAGCCTATGGGAGCACAGTTCTACTCTGTAACATGTAGGGTTGCCATGAGTCAGAATTGACTGACAGCAACAGGTTTAGCTTTTTTTTTAATTGTCTAAAGTGGTTTGGATGGGGCGGGGGCTCTAGGGCTGGTGGACCCTGGGGGTGATAGAGACCAGCATCTCCTCTGCAGGCAACCTAGGCCCCACCTTTACTCAGCTCCCACCACCTGCCTCACTGGAGCCAGTCATGGTGGGCTAAGGTCACAGATGCAGGTCTATGAGCACCCAGGAAACCTGGCCGCTCAGTAGTCTGGTAAATAAAAACACAACTTCTCAGTCTAAAGGGCACCTGTTGGGCAATCCCTGTCACTAAGATTTGAGACTTATTTGTTGGGAATGTAAAAGGGGGAGAAAATGCTGCTCAGCAGGATGAGGCCCTCAAGGCTGACCCTCTTGTTTAATGTGTTAATTACTCTCCTGGGACAGATGCTACATTCCAGCTCTCAGGTGTCACCCTGGCACTCAGGTGTCTGTCAGTGTGTGTGCCTGCTTATCTCTCTGTTGGTGTGTGAGCACATGAGGATGCTGATAAAAGCTCTCCTTCAACCTTGACCTCAGACTTGGAGGTTGAGCATGTGCATCCAGATGGTCCCCCAACTCTGGCTTGTTCTCCTGCAACACAAGACACTGGTCTGCCTCCTTCATTCCCTGAAGTGTTTGACTTCCCTCCATGCCTGGGTGGGCCTGTTGGGTCTAATGGAGACTGTAAAGACAGAGCTGGCAGGAGGCAGCCAGAAGTTGCCGGAGTCATGCTTTATCCCACCCACAGCAGTTAGGGTTGTAGGGTTGTCTGCAATAGAAACTGCCAATCTTAGGCAGGAAAGGGATTTGTTGAAAGCTTATCAGGAGCTCACAGAATAGATGGGAAGGTCGGAGATTCAGGAGCCAGGGCTCCTGGGGCATCTTATCTGGGGACCTTCACCAGAACTCCAGACTTTATCCCCCAGTTCTTTATGCCACGATACGCTAGATTTAAAACCCCGACCAGAAGAGTGCAGTTGAGCTAGACTGGATCCTATGCCCATGCCTTGATTTATAGCTCCATTAAGACCAGGAAACCAGCGTGCTGTTAGGAAAGGAAATGGACTCAGAGCATCAAAACAATACAACAGAAAGAGTGTCCACTAATAGTAATCTTGGGCAGGCTACTTACTGCCCCTGTTGAAGATGTAGCCTTCTCATGGGACGGGGAAGATGCTGGACTCAATGTTGCTCCAAGGGATTCTTCATTTCTGTCCGTGTCCGTGTGCAAAGAAGACTGAGGCTGCTCTAATTTAGAAAAGTGTTAAAAATATGCAAAATGACAGAACAGGAATTTCTGCATTAGTGGGGACCCAGAACCATCTGTTCTGAGCAGGAGAGAGAGGCAGAGACAAAATGTTCTGAACAGACCTTGTGACGCAGACCCAGGCTGGGGAGTGGGAGCCTCTGATAAGTCCCCAGCCTGGCACCTTCTTTCCATCGTGGGTAGTGACCTGTGGGTAAGGCTAATCAAAGGGTGGAGGCAAATGGCAAGTGGTGGCTAATGGAGAATGGAGTCAATCAGGGAGAAAATGCCTTTTCCAGAGGGACCAGGAGAGGACGCTGCCTGGTTCTGAGTCACTCAGAGCAACAGACACACAAGGCAAATCAACACGTATTTCCTGAGCACCTGCTAAATGTCATTTACTCATTCAATCAACAAACATTTTTCTGAGCACCTCCTCTGTACTGATTGCCGAGATGAATCAGACTGAGTATGGGCCCTCAAGTCTCACGGTCTGTTGTGGGGAGTGGGTGGTGCACTTATGTACAAACATAATCAGCATAACGAGTTCGGTATGATGGAGGGATACACAAGTTACTCAAGTAGCCTAGGAGGAAATGACTGATTGTCCCGGTGGGTCAGGGAAGGCTTCCTGGAAGAAGTCATGTCTGTCTGGGTTTCTGAAGGACAAGTAGGAGGAGGGAGCTGGGCAGACAGCATAGACAGAGCATGACTAAATGGTGGGGGAGGGGGTTTGCACATGTGACGCTCTCCGTGGTCCTGAATCATCATTGCATTAGTAGGACAAGGGCTTTTCTGTTGAGGGGAGGGCAGGTACAAATGCCCCCAATTCCTTTACTCCCCCAGGCTCCAGGAAGTATGGCAACTGTGCATGAGCTCAGGGAGATCCACGTTCAGTGTGGTGGGAGTGTAATTTCAAGAGATGGGCAACAGGATCTGAGGCTGGAGATTGGCATGGGTCATGAAGGGTCTTGGAGGCCATGCTAAGGAACTTAGATATTTTTTATCCTATAGGCAACAGAGTCACTATGAGTCGGAATTGACTCGATGGCAATGGGTTCAGTTTTTGGTTTTATAGGCAATGGGGGGATACGGGAAGGTTTTGAGCAAGATAGTGATGGGGTCATATGCGTAATTTAGAAAACCGCCCTGGTAAGCAATATGGAGAAAAGACTGGAGGGGGATGTTGCAGCAGGTAATGTTGAGCTTTACCAGGGTCCAGGTGAGAGATGGAGAGGTTTGAGCTAAGTCAGTGGGCAATGGGGATATTGGAAGATATTAAAGAGAAAAAATAGACAGGTCCTAGATGTGATCTTTGAGGGAGAAGGAGTCCTGAATGGCTCCTAGTTTCCTGCTCAGTGATGATGTGGGTGATGGTATCATTTATGAAGAGGTAAATGATACCAGGGATGGAAGTAGATTTGGGGGGCAGATGATGAGTTCAGTTTTGGATGTGCAGAGCTTGAGGTGCCTGTGGGATATCTAAGGAGGAATACGCAGGAGACTGTTGGACATGTGGATCTGGTGCTTTGAGATGAGGCTAGGTCTAGATATGGAAGTTGGGGTGTCATCAGTGTGGGGGTTGGGTGTCATGAGCATGCAGATGTCTGCTGAAAGCCTAGGCGTGGGTTAGAAACTGCTAAGGGCGAATGTGCCAGGTGGGAAGGGAAGGGACCAGGCCCTAAGCCTTGAGACTCTCCCATGTAGGGCAGAGGAGAGGTGGACTGAGCTCCCAGGTACCAGCCCTGGAGGAACTATTGCATTCCAGGCCAGCGTTTCTCATGGTATATTCAGCAGAGCTGTAGTCTTACAAGATGTTCTGTGGTCAAATTCACATGGGCAGCCTATACCTCTCTCTGAGCGAATCACAGTACACACTCATATTAAAGCTTCGGAAAAGTCCCCCAGTAAGGAAACCTGCTTCTCTGTGTTTACTCCACCATTTCCCAAATATACTTGCCCTTAGAATCATGTCCATTAATGTTCTGTGTCCAATTTGCTTTGAAATCATGGTCTAGACCTAGTGAATGAAGCTGAAGACCCTTTAGCCATTACCGAGTTTAGTCTCCCATTAAACAGATGAGGAAACTGAGTTCTGAAGAAACTAAGAGCAGCATTGTGGGACAGTAGAGGAAGCACTGGAGGTAGACACCCCCGTTTAGTCTAGGCTCCATCATTTACTAGGCAAGTGACCTTGGGCACATTACTTCTCTTCTCTGGGCCTCAGTTTCTTCACCCGTGAAATGGAAATAAGAACCCTACAAGCCCTACTAGCTGATGGTCACATGATACTGCCAGAGGCTTTCAAGAAGACCACTGTGATTTGTCCAGGACCACCCAGCCAGAAAGGGCTACTGTCCTCCCCATCGGTCTGCCCTTGGTGGCCCTGCATCCCGCACAAAGGCCTGATCTAGAGGTTGCTTTTGAGTTAGAACCCCAGCAAAACCCACACAGAGGAAGGGGCTGGTTTGCTCGGTGGCAGCTCAGAGGTCTCCCAAATTTGAAGAGTTCAAAACTCTGCCTCTTCCCTTGCTCTGGCCATGGGGACTCCTTGGGCAAGGATGGGGGTGAAAGGATGAGGAGTTCTGGCTCAGAGGGGAGCTTAGGGTAGCCTTAGAGCCTTGGCTGTGCCTCCCTCAGAGCTGGGCATAGTGGCCCAGCTGGGCAGCATCCCACAGCCGAGCTGGACGCTGTCTTGTAGCTGGCAACATCCCACTGTTATGAGGGTCCTTGCTGTGGCCCAGGACCAGCCCCATGGAGCTCCTCGGTCTGTCCTTGCCTGTCAGTCACCTGCCACCCCCGGCCACTCAGTGGAACCTCCCCCATCCCACTTTGCAGGCCTGAGATCAGCAAGCTGGAAACAGGTAGTGAGGGAACGATCAGCATGAAATGTTTCCCTAACCTCCTGTCACAGTCATTCATACCTAACACACTGAAGCATATTTTTAGTCACTTTGGAGAATTTAAAATACACCTCGAAGGTGCCAAGAAACACCAGCTTGGGGATTAACTCTGCTCCCAAGAGACTGGGGGGGGGGGGCCTCGTGCTGCATCACCCGTAGACTATGCCATGACTCAGTGCAGCCGACACCTTCAGGAGATGCACCTGACCGTGGATGTGGGGCCCGGAAGCAGACTGCAGTGGGCACCAAGCTCCCAGCCCAAGGGGCTGCTGTCAGAGTCTTGGGTCAGCCCCGGCCCTGCCACTGCATGTCTGTGGTGGGGTCACTTCTGTGCCCTGGGGCCTGCCTGTGACACACAAGGAATAATTATCTGGTTTCTGAGGCTCTGTACAGTTCTAACATTCTGTCCTCTGAGCTTTGTTTGTAAAGATTTTAATTTCAATCAAAGCACCAAACTCAAACGGAGGAGGGTTGGGGGGAGGGCTTCATGGAGCGACAGCACCTCTGAGCTGGGTCAGATTGGTGATAGTGGCCCTGAACACAGAAGGTACCCACCCACTCACTACAGGAGACAGGACTCTTACCAATTTGGGAGGGGGGGCTGCATGTGAACATTCATAGTGTAAACCCCACTCTCCTATCTACCCCCAGGTGGAGGAACTGAGACCCAGAGAAAGAACGGGTCTTGCCCAGGTACCTGCCACACACCAGAGCGGGGCAAGGCTGAGTGGAAGACAGGAGGCTGGGTCCTGGTGCACAGCTGGAAGTCTGAAGCTTGGGATGCTGTGCCCCTTCTAATGCCCTGTCCTTGGAAGGCCCAATAGAACCCTCCTTTCCCTGCCCGGGGCTGCCTCTCTGTGGGACAGGGGGTGGGCACCCAAGAGTGTGCCCCTGGGGAGTTTGGGGACTGGTCTGGGTTTCACGGGAGAGGTGGGCAACACAGCCTTCCGTGCTGGGCAGAAGCCCGGGTCCTGGGCCAAGAGCGCACCTGCCTTGCTTCTTGGATCTACGCTGCACTCCCTGAACTGATTAAATCAGGATCAGTGGGTAGCTGCTGGAGCCGCCACTGGCTTTCCAACAGGCGCTCCTAATTTAACCGTCTGAGACTCTCTCCAGGATGTCCAGATTCCCTGGATTTGAGTCCTCAGTCCTCTCCCGGAGTCTCACCAGGAGCCCACTCTAGTAGGGGGGTGGAGAACATTGAGCAGGTGCTGGGAGTCCTTCTCCTTGCACCCCACCCCCAGCTACGGGGCTTCCCGCAGACCCCCTCCGAGTCCTCGCGGGCCTCGGGCGCCGCGCGGCTCGTGCGTG